ATCCAGCCCTTGCTTACTGTATTTGCTTTGGGTAACTGCTCCAGCATTTGGATTTCATTTAGCTTTATTCGCAGCTAAATTTGTGCTCTCACTCCTTCAAAACACATTCCTTGTCTCGTTACTAAGTCTAGCATTCACAGGCAGTTAGCACAATTTCTGCTGACGTGATTCCTTAAAATTGAGAACCATCAATAAAAGTGCATCAGAGTCTATTTTTTCCCCATTTTCATCTGGGGGAGGGTCAGCACAAAATCTGCCATAGTGTCAAAACTGCCAAGTTTAGATATTCGACGAGGCAAAGACACACCAAGTTTTGTGATGCTATCTGTGGTGTAAAAATGACAGACATGCTGTTGGAACATACTAGTCAAGAGTACCAAAATGGGAATAAGACATTTTTAAACACTTTTTTTCATCTTAATTTGTGACTGAAATTGACCCTCTGGTGCAAAGCTAAGGCACACGAGTTAGACAGCAGGAGAAAGTTCACACACAGACGCCTGTCCCCTACAGTATGTGATCGCTGAACAATTTCCAGTTTCCTGTCCTACTAGCCTTCAGACCTTTACAGACAAGAGAAGTAAATAATACTGCAGCAAGTATGGAGCCATGAAGACTCCTCCCCACTGAGAGCTGATGTGTGGTGAGCGTTCTGGCGCACTGTGGCTGCCGTCACATCATCCAGGTGGGGCTGCACATGGGTGGTGGTGGAGGGGAGTCCCCATTACCTGTAAAGCGCTTTGAGTGGAGTGTCCAGAAAAGGGCTATATACTTTAAGTGAAAGCAATTATTATTATTATTATTATTATTATTATTAATGTACACAGTCCCTGCATTCCTGCGCTGTCTGCTTGTGTGTAGTGCCTGTGACTGTGTGCACATGGCTGCTGAACAAGTCTGTTCTGAAAACAGGGCTCTGGGTCGGTCATACAACAAACATGGGGCTACGAGAGAGAATGGAAGTGGAGGAACCCCTGCCTAGAGGGCAAACAGAGTTTCTCCTCCATCCCCTGGAGTCACCACCCCTGGAATTAAATCAATACGACCGTGCTTCTCATCCTTAAGAGGGTCTGGGGACCTGCAGGTGACGTCTGTGCATCTGTCTTAACAACTGCTTGTTATTTTTGTTTTTTTGCTGTCACGTGGATGTTTACAGGAAGCGGCACAGTGGCACAGCCGTCAACATTGCTGCATCGCAGGCCTGCGGCCCCGGGTTCAATTCCTGAGTGGAGCTGGTATGTTTTCCACGCGCTCATGTGAGTTTCCGTTGGGTGCTCTCGTTTCTTCAGACAGTCCAAAGACATGTTGGTAGGTGAACTGTGTGTACACTTGACCCTGTTGTGAGTGTGTCTGTGTGGGCCATGCGATGGACTGGCGTCTTGTCCAGGGTTCCTTCCAGCCTTGCAATCAATGCTTGCCAGGATAGGCTCCGACCTCCCCGCGACCCCGAATTAGATGAAGAGGTTAGAAGATGGATGGGTGAATGCTCATGAATCCGTCCTTATTGGAACTCACGGAAAATGCTGCTTGTATCAAACCACCAATAACATTAAGAATAACAAACTCATGCGCAGTGAAAGAAATACAATAATCAAACCGCTGATACACAGAGATGGTCTTATCATTACTACAGTATGTGTGGGTACTGTTTACACAAATTGTAACGGCCTAATTGTGCCATCCAGTTAAATTCCTCACTATACAGTATGTGGACTATAAACTGGATCAATTTTGAATTTCAGTATCAGTTTACTTTTCCAAGGCTCCAAGAAACTAAACATTAACTGAACTGAGTAGTGAACAGAATGCTCAGCAGCAGTGCGTAACCTATATTGGTATAAATAGCACACCCCTGACACATAATATTCAAATAGCAACCAAGAGAAGCAAGTATGGCCTTAGATCTAAAATTAGTCTAATCAGGTCTAAAATTAGTCAGCAAAGAAAATGGCAATCTGAATGAGTTATTTTTTTTTATAATTGGGATCCATTTCAAATAGGGCAGTTTCACAAAGTTCATTCGTTTGTCTTATGGGGCTGGTCTGCTTTGTCACACACAAAGCAGGCACCCTTGGCTATACTAACATTAGACACACTCTTACATCGTTCAAAGAGCTACCTATGGCTTTCAACTGCTGTCCAATTGCTTAGTTGCTGGTCATAAAACTGGACTGATAAGGGAATGTCTTTGCACAAAAAAAGAGAGGGAAAACATTAAAGCCCTCCTCCAAATCTTGGAGCTATTTCAAATAATTGGACCTTCATCATTCTCACTGAAACTGCACCTTGCGTTATTTTACAGTCTGTCATGGATATTCTTGAACACGGTAGTAATGGCTTGGTAATTATATTATCAAAGAAAAGAAAAAAAAGAACTGGTGGCTGCTGCCAAATATTACAATGAACGAGACAGACAAATCGGATAATTACAGTCCATTAGGAAGTTCTTGAAAAAGCAGCAGCCTCTCTTTACAAATAACCGTCAAGCAAGTGAAGCTGCTGTTAAGGCAAGGTTCGTGCTCCCCCATAACTAGCATGGTCATCAAAACCCTTTTTTTGAAGGGGACCAAATGAAAAGAATGATAAACCACAATTTAAAGCCTCCTTAGAAACATTGGCTGAGGGACTCCACGATCTATCAGACAACTGGTGGACAAAGTCAAATCCTCTGTCATACTTTCAGCTGCCAGTAAATAAAAGTCGAGAGGGAACTGTTCTGACGCAGCCCGGTGTTCATTCACTGCATTGGTAAAAACATGCACACAACAGAAGAGTTTGTAGAAGTGGTTGCAATAAAAGACACAAGGACCAGTGACAATATCATCAATAGTTTGTTGGGAGCTTTGGACAAATTAGGTGTAGACTGGGCGCCAGCTGGGAGTCTGGCTACAGATGGAGAACTACAGATGGTTTGTAGCTGCCACACAGCTAAAGCAAAAATTGCTCAATGACAATCCAAACCATCAGCTGTGCAATTTGCATGGCATCGTATGCCAAAAAGCACTGTGTAGTAAATCACTGAAGCTGGATAATGTGGTTTTGTACTTTTTAGATTTTATGTAAGCAAGTAGCTTTAATTACAGGCATTTCAATGGAAGAATCTGAGAATACCCCTGTTTTACCATGTCACACCACTGTTTGTTGGCCAAGTCTGGGGGCTATCCTGAAATGTGAATTGTATAGTATAGAAATACGGTTATTTATGGGCCAGAAAGAAAAAGCAACTCCTGAACGTCAGGCTTATGAATGTTTTCAAAATCATGCCTTTATGGTGTGCAATGACCTGGTAATTGTTAGATTGTTAGGAATGTTGAGAAAATTTGAATGTTACGATAAAAGGCTTGGATTTTGTAAGACTAAGTTTGTGTTCCTGGTTGGCAAGTTAACACGTTTCTAAAGAAGAGCGAAAAACAAATGTGTGTTTTTGCGTGGGAACCAGTTGCTAAACAGTACATACAGTAATAAGAATTTAAAAACACAACATGGCGTCAGAAACAGGGAAATGTAAAAGAAGAACAGAACTAGGAATCACAGTGAGCAAAGTGAAAAAAACATACTGAATGTAAAAGGACACAAGGAAAATGGAGAAAAAACAGCCACTTTCAAGTCAGCAAATGGCTGGCAATATTGCCTTCAAAGAGACAAAACATCCATTTTATTACACATAGTAAGTGAAGAGACACTGAATGTTTAGAACAACTTTGTGCTCGAAAAATGAGGAAATTTAAAATCAGATGTAATAAGAGAAATGTTTTAAAACTACTGTGTATCTAAAGGAAATCTGACTTATGAGAGACATACATTACTGATAATTACACAGAAAATGTTAAATTATCGATCAATACGTCATAGAATATGAGAACCCAAAACAAAACAAGGGCATTTGGAGGCCTAACAAAATCGCTATTTTAGAAACCTTATAATTTGTCAGATCCAAGATAATTCTGATAGCAAGACCTTTTGAAAAAGCAATACAAAGTGCAGCAGAAACAATTAAATTGCAGGTCAAGCGTTCTTCATACAGAGTAAAGATGGAGTCAATTGTGACAACAGTGCAGTGTGCAGTTAAAAATAAACCCAAAATGATTTCATTTAAATAGCAACCTTATGGATGGCGTGGGACACAATAGTCCTAGGCTCTGCCCACCATAGAGCAAGATATAGAAAATACTGTGATAAAAATAATCATTTTGCAGTAAGTAAACTTGAATACATGCCATTAATAAAGAGGGCATTGAACAGTTTTGTGTCAAATCTTATCAGTGTGGTCAAGGCGAATGAGAATGAATGGCTACTCCTTTTGCAGCTCAGTAACTTCCAAGATAGATACTGAAGCATAAGTGAGAGTTATTTCTGACAAAATGACTTTAAAAGACTCTAGACTAGACCAAAACTGCATGAAGTCAAGGTAAAAGTTACTTTGTATCACACACACACCAGCGAAAGACAGGTGTGTCAGTAATGTTATGGACAAGAACAAAGATTATAAATTGGCATTCATGGTACTGTAGTACCCATAGAAGTACAAGCCATACTTTGGCCATTGTCACCATGTGAAATATTGGACCTGGTGACAAGAGTGTTTGCGTTAGACCATGACAGAGACTCAGACAATGAAAAACTGATACATTGATACACTGAAGTGCTTAGAGAACTAGGTTGTCTTCCTGCTGAAAACCATTCCTACAGTACGTCAACTGCCAAGTACTGTACCTTCAATAATCCATCCATGCCATGCAGTTAGCATGGATTCTGGATTGCCAAGTGAGAAGATGCAGTTCACTCTTGAGCAAGTAAATATCCTAATGTAACAGTAAAAAAAAGCCATTATTGTAAGTGGGAACGTAATGGAAAACTAACTAACTTGCAAAATAAAGGAATAAAAAACATCAGCCTAATGAAGCACTAGCAGCACTGGAAAGACAGAACCCGTCCAGTTCTGAAAGACATTTCCCAAACCCAGTGCCACGAGGCTGGATTGCCAAGGCGGTTTGACTCACTGCTGCTTGCGGCTGAGCTCCTGCTCCTTGTTGACCAGGTCCTGCTTCAGGGTGGCGAGCATCTCCACCGAGACGTCCACCTGGCGGGACAGCTCCGAGGCCTTGTCCTCCAGGTCCTGCTTCTCCTGGCTGAGCCGCACGCTCTCCTGCTTGGCCTTCTCCAGCTCCGAGCTCTTCTTCTCCAGCTCCACCTGCAGCCGCCCCACGCGGGCCGCTATCTTCTGCTCCACCTCCTCGGAGAGCTTCTCCAGCCGCTCGTCCAGCTCCAGCTTCTCGAAGGCCCGCACCTTCAGCCGGGCCAGCCCCTCTTCGTAGGCCGCTTCCACCGCGCTGGCGGCCGCTGTGGCCGCGGCGGCGACCGCGGAGGACGTGGGGGTGGTGGGGGCGGTGGAGGTCATGCCTTTCTTGATGAATATCTCGCTCAGGGGGATCTCTACATTGGGGATGTAACGGGCGGCAGCTGGGGTCAGGCCCAAGTCCTCAGGACATGGCAAGTCGTAGGGGTACCGGTGCTCCTTGGCACTGAAGGAGGTGCTCTCGAACACGTCTTTACGGCCCCCCACCGGGCTCAACAGGGGACCGTCCGTCACCAAGGGCACGAGGGTGGCGTCGCAAACGCTGTTGGATTTGGAGAGGACGTACAGGGTCTCGTAGGTGTGGTTGTACTCCAGGTGGGCCCTCAGGGACGACAGGCTCCGGAAACGCTTGTGTTCCCCGCAACGCGGACAGCGGTAAGGCAGGTCCAGAGAGGCCATTCCTCGCTCATGACCATCCGCGGCGCCGGCAGGTCTGCGCGCTTTCCAAAGGGAACAGAGCTCCTCTCATCTTGGCGCCCTGCAGCTCGGCACTGGGGGAGGGGAAACTGAGGCTGGTGCCCTCATGCTGAACCAGCATTGCCAGCGAGGAGAACAAAAAAACAAAGTGGGGATTCTGAAATTAATACATTAATTTCACATGTGCCAGGTTTTGTTAATGGCTGCTGATCACTGGACTTCCTTCACTATTCCCTGAAACAGAAAAAGGAAGACAAAATGAGATCCTTTTCAGGCAATTCTGACAATGACCAATCCTTCAGACAGGTACCTTTTCCCACTCATTGAATGATGAACCCATAAGAATCACTGGAAAATAATCTGAATATTTCTTTTCAGCATTTATGATTTATGGTGTAATTAGCCATGACAGATACGGATAGATGAAATAAAGTTTATATGCAAGACAATGAAGGCGGGCTCGTGAACGACGAAAAGGATTTGTCATAGATGACTTGAGAGGAAGAGACCAGAAAGGCTGGAAAAGGCCGTTAAAGGTGTTATGTTTTGCCTTCTTTCAAAAGAAAAAAATGTCTTTCCTCAAATAACAATTTCTATACAGAAAGCATAACACATATTGACGAACTCAATCATTTTTTCTTCCTTTTTACGTCAAAAGATCTACATGCAGATTTTAAATAAATCTTTATCCATGTATGTACAGTATCATTGCACCCAGGTTAGGTTCAAGACCTCAATCCCCAATCCTCCATCTGTTGGACTAAGAAGTTATATAATATTATATAATAATAATAAACTTTATTTTATATATCACCTATAAAAGTGGCTTTTCAAAGCACACTTCCCTCAATAGACGAGTAGCAAGTGAATTTTTTAAAGCTCACTTCACTGTTAAAGATCTAAATTGGTTCTCCTGCCACCAGCAGGCTGAATACGTTATTATAAATGTGAGGTACAATACCGGGGAAATTGAGTATTTCATTAAATTATGGTCTGTGGCATTTTTGCTGGTCTCCTTATGAAATGAACAAACTGTTTATTTCTACATTCTATCTCAGTAACAAAACCTGAAGAGTGCTCCTGCTTACATTTGCTGATTAAATTGTGAGTGAGGAATATTCAGTTCTTTCACAGTATATTCATCCACTTTCTAACTACTTTATATAACACTGGGTCGTGGGGAAGCCAGATGTTCTTGAGAATATTTTCATTCACCTCAAGGAGTTTGAAAAGGTTTTAAATTACAGATTTAGATCAAAAGCCATCCACTCAGATGGCCCTAATTTAATACTGCCCAAATTGACTGCTCTACTGCATGATATGTATGCAGTAGATTTATGGTACAGAGTAGTACAAATCACCCTGCAATATAACAGCAGTTAAAGGCAATTTAGGAATTGAAATCCAAGCTTTATGGTTCTGGCAACCTTTGCTTTAGCACTATCAGTTTTGGGATGCCTCCAACGTAATTTAGGAGTATGTCTGTATGTCCTAGGCGCTCAGTAAGATGCTGCAGACTCTCCTTATGCTCAACAAAAAAAAATATCTGGAAAAGTAAATGTTATCCCTGTTAATGTTCCTTCAGATGGAATTTATAACACTTCCTTCGGGCCAGTTGTGAAATTAAACTGTTGCCTGAAGTAAGCAATCTGATTTTGCAATGCACTGAATGGTCTCTCAGTATTTTGCCTCTGTTTCAAGAGCAGGAGCCATCATCAGGACCCTCAACTAATACATTTCAAGCAGCTACAGTATAAAGGTTCTGTCATTGAATGTGAGGGTGTGCTGCTATACTTTCCTTGACTGAATATAAGAAAATGATTGCAAGGAGAAGAAGCCAGTGGATCAGACATTCATCATTCTTACCGGCTAATGTCGTTTGGATTAATGTCGTTTGTGATTTTTTGTTCTCTGTATTTAATCAGGAAACCTTTATGACTACTTTTCAATTTTATAACCAAATGTTGATGATTATGAATGATCATTTCTGTATGGAATTGGTTTAATGCACCTGTTCTTCCTTGGATAAGATTATAAAACAATTTGAACAAATTAAAAGGTGACTCCAATGAAGGAAAGGTGGAGGAGTTCTCAGACATGGAAAATAGCACAATCTAACAACAGCAATTTTTATAACTGGCCACATAACTAAAACAAGCTTTGAACTGCATGATTGTGAAAGCCGGAATGAAACAGTAAGTGTTCATCTTAAAAGGCTTACAGAAGTCCTTAACCTATTTATTTTTTTAGATAAATAGCAGTAAGTCAACTCAAGTACACTGCGTTAATGAAGAGAGCACTGAACCGCTTTGTGTCAATATTCTCAGCAAGCCCGATGAGAACGAATGGCTACTCCTTTTGCAGATGAATAACATCACGGGTACCTTTCAAGGTAGATACTGAAGCATAAGCGAAAGTTATTTTTGAAAATGACTTTAAAAGACTCTAGACTAGACCACAACTGCATGAAGCCAAGGTAGAAGTTGCTAAATATTTTTTATCACAAATAACCAGAGAAATGCAGGTGTATCAGTAATGTTATATACAGTACAAGAACACAGATGATAACTCTGCATTCACGGTACAATTGTTCTACATAGAAGTAGAAGCCGTACTTTGGCCATTGTCAGCATGTGAAATATTGGACCTGGTGACATGAGTGCTTGTGTTAGACCATGAATATATGTGCTTTTCATCTGATAAAGACATAGATAAAAATAAACAGAATTTTCTTCTTGTCCACATCCTAAAGGAAGAGATGACCTGTAGCTTTTCAATAAGACATTAGACGTTTCTATACTGCCAAAACAACTTCCATCCAGAACCCAAAAAAAGACATGGTTTTTTCTGGCATCCAGTCGTTTCAAACTTCATTGTTACAACCCCAGGTGTCTAGGGGTAAAGGGATGTAACATTAAGAATGATTTTTGGATGCAGGTGGGCTCTGGTGAGGGACTTAGGAAGCGTGACAACAAGGGTTGGTGTAAAAGTGATTATTTTAAGGTGAATAAGTGACTGTTATGAAATAAGACACAATAACACTCAGGGGTAAGGAACTAGAGTGGTGCCAAAGAAAAGAAATTAACAAACAAAATGGAGCTGGCTAGGAAAGTGAGGGAAAGCTAACCTGACTACAAAAGAAAACCTGAAACACACGCTCTTCTGCGTCTTCAAACGCCTTAGCTAACCTTCACTGACTACCCAAAACCATACAAGACAAACGGCACTCACCCATACTAAACTAGTGTACTAATACAAAAAATCAACTACATGTGTGGAATGTACCCAAGTTTGTACCCTGACAAGTAACAGGGTACAAAAGAACACAGAGTTGATACAATATGTTTGGACAAGGCAATGGCTAAATAAAGGATAACACAAACAAACGAAAGTACAAAGAGACGAACACAAATCAACAAAACAACAAAGCTGAAGCTATACGAAGACATACAGGAACGAAGCGAAGCCGAAGCAAATACCAAAAGCGAAGCGAAACCAAATCTGAGCCGAGCAGGACCGAAGTTAAACGAAAGGCCCCTTCATTCAGATAACCTCCAAGTTATATACTAAATAAGCTGAGTCCTGATTGGCCGAGAAGCTGATTGATGATGATGTCACACAGAAACAATGATGTAATGATGGGCCAATGGGGGAGGGAGAACAATCAAGGTCAGGAAGTGTGGAACAGACACAAAACACACATGGACCACACACTGGGACGTAACTGGGACGTAATGATAAGATATAGTTGACAGAGTATGTTGGCAAGCATCTGATCCAGTTAGATTAAACTGAACATAGACAACACTCTGCTGATCAACACTTGAACAAGTATTTCTCAATAAACTATATAACAACTGTTGTGGCAACTGAGAGAGACCAGTTTACCAGCATCCACAACACATTTTACCAGCATCCAGAATTCTGCAGGATGAGTGCAGCACCATTCTTCCACAAGAAATAATAATAATAATTCCTTACACTTATACAGTGCTTTTCTGGACACTCCATTCAAAGCACTTTACAGGTCATGGGGACTCCCCTCCACCTATGTGCAGCCCTACCTGGATGATTCAACGGCAGCCTGTACTGTGCTCACAGTACACTCAACACATGGCAGCTATTGATGAGGAGGAGAGCAAAGTGATAAAGCCAGTTCATAGATGGGGATTATCAGGAGGCCATGATTGGTAAAGGCCAATGAGAAATTTGGCCAGGACACCAGGGTCACACCCCCACTCATTTTGAGAAACACTCTGGGATTTGTAATGGACACAGAGAGTCAGGCCCTCAGTTTTACGTTTGATCCAAAGGACAATCAACTTGCACCTGATCAAGTTTTCCTCTTGATGGAAGTGGAAAACGCTGTCTGAGGTGCCGTTCCAGAATATCCCATAAACACTCAATTGGGTCCAGATGTGGTGACGGCCCCTCAGAGTTGAGGGATGAGTAAATGTTAATTGCATGCTAAAAAGTAGAGACAAGCCACACAACATTTCATCATGTGAGCTTCCTTCAGGTGCAGGGAACATGAGTATAGTGCTCATCAAACCACTGGGTGGCCACATGTGCTCTGCAGATCCACCGACCTTGACTTCTAAGGGAATGACTGCACTCACACCATGAACCCCTCACAGTGGGAAACAAGAACTCAGGGCTGTAGAGCTCTTCGGGTTAGCACCACATGTGCCCTCATCTCTGTGTGTAAGATATGGCAAAGGATGATTTGTCTGACCACATTACACTTCTTTACGGCTCAGTAATCCATTGAGCTCCTTTTACCACTGGATTTGCAAACGTGCCTTGTCAGGTATGATGAGCAGTTTGTGCACTGCAATCCAACTATGGTATCCCGTTCCGTGGAGTGTGGAGTTCCTAGTGGACCATTTTTGATGAAACTGGCTTGCTGGCACCCTAGGTTGAATGTTGTAGTCAACTGATTCACAGTTGATGGCCTATTTTGCCCTATACTTCAAATGAATGCAGAAACATCACGGTTGCTGCTGTTGGCGGCCCCTCAGGGTTCCATGCTGACATCACCTCAGACACCACTACTCAGGAAACATCACCAGGTCGAGATGTCTTGGTCACTGAGGCTCATTTCAAACAGTAAAAATCTCTACTCAGAATCACTGAGGTCTCCTCTCTTCCAACCATGATAGCCATAATTCTAGGAAACTAGGCACTACCTGTCCTGCATTTGTATACATGACACTAAATATACTTGGTTGCCA